GTAAAATTCACTTTCTAGTTTAGACTAGTATGGCAAGTGACTGTTGGACTGTACAGATTAGAGAACATTTTTGTCTTTATGGGAGTTTGGGAGAGGGTGGCAAAAGATAGTGAAGTCATTGAATATTTAAAGTTGAAAATGCAAGTTCAGGGGTAATAAAGGTAGGAGTTAAACCAGAATAGCAAAGAGTAACAGAAGAATCCTGCCTTGAGAGATTATTGGAAGACAAAGCCAGGAAAACCAAGGACTCAGCTCAGCAAAGGAACTGAGTGCCAGGGAGTTGTTGGAGGGTTAAAAGAGTGTGTATCAATCCTAAAGGAAGGCCTCATAGAACATGTATGTACAGGTACCTTCTGACTGCCCTTTTGTGTCATGTAGGGACTGGGGCTTGGGAGGTGGTGGGAAATGCTGGTGCTGTCTGCTGCTTTTGCTGTGAATCAACTGTCCTTTGTCCTTAGGGAGTTTTTATGTTTTAAACTGGCAGGCTATCTTGTTAGCTGCAAGGAGGAGCATCATAGACGTTCCAGTTCCTAACAACTACTACTTCCTGTGTCTCTGGCCCAGCATGTAGCAGAAGGCTATCTGCTGTTCCTTGGTGTTTCAGCAGCAGTGATCCCAGGATGCCAGAGCTGAATCCCTTCTGTAGCTACTAGGCTAGTCTGTGGCGCCTGTGCAGTGTAAGTACACTATCAACCCTGACCTTCTTGTTACAGGTCAGATGTTTGAGTCCCAGATAGGTTAATTGTCTTTTAGTTCACTGGACTGGGGACAACTGTCTAATGTCTGACTTGTGGAGCTTTGGTTCTTAGGGATGTTTTTTGACTGCCTTTTGTGGTTTGGATTCAACCTGTGTTCAGTCAGTTGTGTGCCTGGAAAGGGCATGCATGGGCTGCTGCACATGTGCGCCACAGAAATGTCTCCGATCACTGTGGAAGCGGGRTTGGGAGTTGGGAACTAGGATTCAGCTTTGTTACTGCCACTTGTGACAATAGGAGATGGTTGGTTGCGATTGTCCTGGGGAGCTGAAGGCATTTATAAAAGTTCCCACTTATGTGTTAACATCACTTAATAATACACCTCCATGGCGTTTCTAATTTCATTTTTACAGATGACATGGATACTGAAAATGAGAAGTAAGGCCTGGCTGACCTGACCATGTTGACACCTAGTGAGAAGTGAAGCAGAATTTGTACCTTAATTGAGCAGATTTGAAGCCTCATGTACTTCTATTTTTTTTTTCCTCATGTACTTCTTTTTTTTTTTTTTTTTAAGAGAGAGTGAGAGAGGAGAGAGAGAGAGAGAGAGAATTTTTAATATTTATTTTTTAGTTCTCGGYGGACACAACATCTTTGTTGGTATGTGGTGCTGAGGATCGAACCCGGGCCGCACGCATGCCAGGCGAGCGCGCTACCGCTGAGCCACATCTCCAGCCCCTTCCTCATGTACTTCTAAAAGGAATCAGCAGTATCTTGTTCTTGGCCTGGGCTATGTGTCTGAGAGAGTTTTCTGGGTCCAGGTTTGGGCCCCTGAGATATTTAATAAACATGGTTTTAAATGTGTGATTCACCCCAGCCTCTATTTGTTCTTTCCATGTGCCAAATGCAAAGATAAGAAAAGACTTGCCCCTCAAAGGAGTTGTTGATTTCAAGGGGGCCCCTAATGTCTCATCTTGTTCTATACTTGTACCTTGTAAATGATCACTTTGTGTGCATGTGCCTCCTGTTACACCTGATGGGGCATGCTGGGTAGTGTTCACAAAGCAAGTGTCAGAATCTAAGTGTACCTGGGCATGGTTGTGCAGGCCTATAATCCCAGTGACTTGTGAGGCTGAGGCAGGGATATTGCAAGTTCAAGGCCAACCTGGGCAGCTTGGCAAGACCTTCAATATTTAAAAGAAAAAGACGGGATTGGGATGTAGCTCAGTGGTAAAGCACCCATGGGTTCAATGTCCAGCACTATAAAAGAAAAAGTCTGAAATCCTTAGTATGCCACAGATTATCTCTTATTTTAGAAGTAATTGATCACAGTCCACCCAGTGCCCAAGGTCAGCTCTCAAGGTCCCTGACCCATACATGAAAAGATGACACCAAAACAAAAAAGCCTGTACCTTGAGGTGTATGTAAGTTTCCTCACCGAGGAACTGATTTAGACCCCCTGAGCTGTTTGTGGGGTCAGGAAGCCTCATACAGGAGACACAAGCAACTCCTGGTAGCCTTCCAGGAAATGGAGATGGTATCACTTCCAGGAGGCTCTGGGTTTGGGTAAGCTTTGTGGCTTATGTAGGTACATGTAGGGTTTCCTGGCAGCTGGGAATCATTCCCCTACTACTGACAACCATATCTATATTCTCATATGAGGTAAAAATCAATTTCGGTTACAAATCCTAAATCTGAACTGAGAAAGGGTGCTTTTCTGGCAGTAGGGATTGCTGCAAAGTAAGCAGCAGTCCTGTATAGGGATTCAAGAGCAAGGGGGTCACAGCTGTGGCAATAGGGGCTCTTGTAGAGGAAGATGTCTATAGAAACTGATCTAGGTCAGATAATAAAACTGCTGCCAAGGCTAGAGCCTCAGGCCCAGCAGGCTTGAGTAGGTGGCAGACTACTAACCATAAAAGAAGCATCCCCTGAGGACACTGCACATGGCTACCACTTACCCTGCCTGCTGAGGCCAAAGACTTACTGCCCAGTCCCTGAAGTCAGAATAGGTAGGAGTCATTGAATTCAGTGCTGGAAAGGCCCAGGGGGAACTTCCTTCATGTGATGTCATCTCTGGACATTGGCTTCAGTAGACATGAAATGAGAATAACAGTAGCATGGGTCCTGGGAATCAAATGAGGCAACAAGAGGCATATGGTTGTGCAAACCTTCAGGGTGGAAGAGGCACAGTCATGACTGTGGTTACGCCCTGGGTCATTCAAAGTGTTTAAGCTCCACCCACAGCCAATCTGTGAGCTCAACATGGTCTTGACATTTTCAAATAGGGGAAGAAAAAAACCTCAAAGTATATTTTTTGTGACAGGTGAAAAATTTGTGAAGTTCAGACTTCAGTGTCTCTAGCGTTTTACTAAAACTCAATTACATCAATTATTCTTAAAATCATTAATACAAACCCAGGTCTGCTTGATTCTTTGGGGGTTGAAGAAGTGAAACTGAAAAGGGACTGAGACTAAGAATTCCCCACACTGGAGCTTAGGTTTCTGAAACCCTTCAAAAATACCTGCCAATGTGAAGTCAGAACCCCATTTCTAGATATGGGGATCCCCTACTCTGGGTACTGGGGATGGAACCCAGGGGTACTCTACCACTGAACTAAATCTATAGCCCTTCTATTGAAATTTTTATTTTGAGGTTTTTTTGTTTGTTTGTTTGTTTTTGGTACTGGAGACTAAATCCAGGGGCATTTAACCACTGAGCCACATCCCCAGCCCTTTTTAATATTTTATTTAGAGATGGTCTTCCTGAGTTAGGGCCTTGCTAAATTGCTGAGGCTGGCTTTGAACTTGAGATCCTCCTGCCTCAATCTCCAGAGCCACTGAGATTACAAGCATGTGCCAACGCACCCATCAATTCTACTGCCTCTTGACTAGCTGGGATTATAGACCTGCTGATCACCATGCCTGGCTGGAGCAGGGGATTTTGGGGGACCAGTGACTCCTTATCACTAATGGTACCTAGTTTTACCAGGTACTTGGATAAACACTTAAAATTTTATTAAATATGCTTTCACTTTAAGGCATTTTATAGAGATAAGAAATAACTTGCATTAACAAACAATTTAAAGCCTAAAAAGTGAAAAGATTGAGAAAAAACTGTTAAGTGTTGGAATATAACAAATCTCAAGATGGTACACAAATGACTCCAGTTTGAGAATACTGGAGTCTGCCATCTAGACTTCCTGCTTGAGGGAGGATTGAAAGAGAACTTCCCTGTGTGCTTGCAAGCAGACCCCTCAGTCAGTAGTACTGTTGAAGACAAACCTGAGCCATGACCAACTGGGCCATTATCCAAATGTGAGGTTGCATCCACATATCTTGATGACCACAGGCTGAGATCTGTGAGTGCTGAGATGAGACCTGAGGGCTCCAGGCCTGTATGACCTCATCTACCATCCATGAAGGCTGGATGGAAGGACAAAGCAAAAGACATGGACATAAGTCTTATTGCAACTGGCCTCCATAGAGAACTTCATAGGGGCCTGTGTCCCTCCCTGGTTGATAAAGTGAGAAATTTCAGCAACTTGAGTCCCCACCACTGGAATCTCTATAAGGTAGACAGGAAGACTTTGTATCTTATACCCTGTTGTGGCTAGCAGGCACTTTAAAGAATGCTATTGTTTGGTCCTCTACCCCAGGGTCTCAGGTATCAGCATCCTTTTTCACTTTTGTGTTAAGATACAATGTATATGCAGTAAATTTCACCTCTATTGAATTCTTTTGTAGGGGTGGGGTGAGGGACTATGAATTGAACCCAGGAGCGCTTTACTACTGAGTACTGAGCTACATCCCCAATCCTTTTAAATTTTTCATTTTGAGACAGGGTCTTGGTAAATTGCTGAGTCTGGCCTCAAACTTGTGATCCTCCAATCTCAGGCTCAGGCTCAGTCTCTAGAGTTACTAGGATTAAAGCATGCACCACCATGCTGGGCTCATTTAGTTTTCAGTTCTGTGTTGACAAATATGTGTGGCTGGGTGACCATGACCATGTCAAAAAAATTTTTCTTTAAAGTCCCACAGCAAACCCTAACATGCAGCCAGGATTGGAAACCAACCCACAGAATCTCTTCCGCTTGGAGGTTAAATAGTAGCTTTTGAGAAAGACAGCAAGGACCCCTCCAGAGTAGGGAGAACCCATTAGACACAGGCTTTCCTGCTCTAGTAGCAGGAAGCAGCTCAAGCACCCCTGGGGAGGGAGCAGCAAATGGGCAGGGCCGCCCTCCCAGGGCCAGAACCCACTTCCTACTTTACCACAATGCTGTAGGAGTCTGGCAGGGGGCTGGGCCTCTCCAGGCTTCCCCTCCTGTCTACATCTTGCACAGAAAGGTCGGAGTATTCTTGCTTGAGTGTTTCCATCAGGCAGAATGGAAGATGAGGAGGGTCCTGAGTATGGCAAGCCTGACTTTGTGCTCTTGGACCAAGTATCCATGGAGGACTTCATGAAGAACCTGCAGCTCAGGTAAATGTGGGGCAAGGGTCCTGGCCTTCCTTCCTCCCCAGCCTCAACCTCTTCCTGTAGACCTGAGGGAAACAGGGAAGGAATATGGGTCCTCATCATCAAGGAAGGGGTCAGCAGCACACACACACACACACACACACACACACACACACACACACACAGAGACCACACAAGCTGAAATGAGTGCCTGAAAGCATGCCCTAAAGAGATAGTGGCTGCCCAGAAAGTGACTGTCCTTAAAGGCTGGAGCTGTTCCGACCCTGCTTCCCATATAGCCCAGGCACCTGTCACCTCTTCCTTCCTGTGATTGGGCCATAGCATGATCCTCCTGGGACAGACAGGCAAAGGCATCAGGACCAGGGCTGTGCCCCCTTCCAAACCCTCCTCCCGCTGATGCTCCCACATTTCATCTCACAGGGGTGGCCTGAGCACTGGGGACACTGGGATGAAGTGGGCAGTCCCCACCCTTGGGTCCAAACAATCTCAATGAGTTGAGATGATGCTCTGGGGCTTGTGGGGTATCTTAGGACACAGCTAGTAGAAGTGACATTGGAGCTCACATTGTCAGTACGGGAAGCAGAAAGAAGACAGGAATGAGCTGGGGATCTAGGGGTATGGCATGCTAGATGGTCTTGCATACAGCGGGGCTTCATGCCTGCCTCCCAGGGGAGGACTGCTGTGTGCCAGGAAGCTCTCCAGGAAAAGTAGGGGACCAGGAGCCCCACTAAGCACAGGAGTCAAGAGGCTGTGATCCTGACCGAAGGAGAGGATAAGGTAGGAAATGAGCTCAGCATTTTGTGCTCATTATCATTATTCTACCTCATTCTCATAAAAATGAGTTCATGAGAGAGGCAGTATCCTCTCCATTTTAAGGATGAGAACATTGATCCTGGAGAGGACAGTGACTTACTGCTGGCCACATGGCCTGTAGGAGTATTATAGCTGAGCAGAGGGCACTCTTGTCAGAGGTAGCAGAGGAAGAGGAACCCAGACAGGGCTTCTTGGAGAAGGGCGGGTCCCACATATTAAGGGATTCTGTGGCCAAAGAGCAGGCAGGTCAGTTCTCCTCCCATGGGCAGAAGGCAGAGAGGTACTGACAGGCTCTCCACAGTGACTTGGTTTGTAAACAGAAAGATGGAGAAGACTGAGGATGTCCTGGGAGAGGATCATTGGCCATTGGCCACAGGCTGGGGCACAAAGACTGTGTGTGCAGGCATGTTGCTCCAACCCCTCCCTGTGGTCTGGGTGGGGCAGGGCGGGTCTCCTTCCGGCTCTAGTTCCCGCCCAGGCCCTAACACAGGAAACAACTAAGTCTCCTCCCTCCCCTCCAGCCAAGCCCCTTTCTTGCAACCCCATCACCTACCCACCCTGAAGGATTCACCCAGGAATCAGCCATGACCCTGTTGGGGTATTGCACAAGTAGATTCCCTTTGTAAAATAGGTGGGCCTGATTCCTGGGATTTCAGGACACCCCATAGAAAGTAGTGTGTGCTGGGGGCAGTCACACATGCCTGTARTCCCAGCAGCTCTGGAGGCTGAGACAGGAGGATAGCAAGTTCAAAGCCAGCCTCAGCAAAAAGGAAGGTGCTAAGCAACTCAGTGAGACCCTAAATAAAATACAAAAATATAGCTGGGGATGTGGCTCAGTGGTCAAGTGCCTCTGAGTTCAATTTTTATTTTTGGTACCTCCAAAATATAAATAAATAAATAAATAAATAAATAAAAGCCGGGTGTGGTGGTGCATGCCTGTAATCCCAGCAATTTGGGAGACTGAGGCAGGAGGACCATGAGTTCAAAGCCAGCTCCACAATTTAGCAAGGCCCTAAGCAACTCAGTGAGACCCTGACTTTAAATAAAATACAATAAAAGGCTGGGAATGTGGCTCAGTGGTTAAGCACCTGGTACCAGGTAAATTTAATCCCTGCTACCAAAAAAAAAAAAAAAAAAAAGAAGGGTGGGGGGAGGGAGAGAGGAAAGGAGAGAGAGAGAGACTGAGAAAGAAAGATAAAGAGAGGAAGGAAGGAAAGAAAGAAGGAAGGAAGAAAGAAGGCTGGCTTTGAACTTGCTATCCTCTTGTCTCAGCCTCTAGAGCTGATGCATACCCTACATGGTAGGGACGACTAAGAGGTTCAACTCACCCAGGATGGTACCAGGGAAACTTGAATGGACACCATCCCCTTTTGCCTTCTCTATGCTTAGCCTTTGCTGGTGGGGCTGACTGGAACCCTCCCCATATGGGTTGTGCAAAGTGGTGAATGCTGAGGCCTTGCCCATTGTACCCAGGTTTGAAAAAGGCCGCATCTACACCTACATCGGTGAGGTACTGGTGTCCGTGAATCCCTACCAGGAGCTGCCTCTATATGGGCCTGAGGCCATTGCCAGGTACCAGGGCCGAGAGCTCTACGAGCGACCACCTCACCTCTATGCTGTAGCCAATGCTGCCTACAAGGCGATGAAGCGCAGGTCCAGGGATACCTGCATCGTCATCTCAGGTACCTGCCCTGCAATCCTTACCTCATTTGTAAATAGCAAATGAAAGTGCTTAGATATCTCCTGCATCCTGGAGGTGCAGGCAGGGACAGGGAGCTGAGGTAAGGGTCACGGCCTCACTGAATTTTCCATCTCCCATCTTCCCGGCAGGGGAGAGTGGGGCAGGGAAGACAGAAGCCAGCAAGCACATCATGCAGTACATCGCTGCTGTCACCAATCCAAGCCAGAGAGCTGAGGTGGAGAGGTAAGTGACTGTGGACCATGAATCTGTTGGGAAAGGACCTGGCACCAGAAGGCAAAAGACAGAAGCTAGAGCCTATCTTAATCCATGCCCAGTAAGGAGGGTTCTTGGGTCACTTCCTATACCTAGAGGTAAGTTATGGCTGAGCGGCTGGAGTTGTGACTCAGTGGTAGAGCACTTGCCTGGCATGTGTGAGGCCCTGGATTCAATTATCAGTACCACATATAAATAAATAAAACAAAAGAGCTATAAAAAAATAAAAAGATATGGCTGAGCTACACTAAGGATCTCTCAGATAATGAGGGGTGAAACCCAGCTAAGGCACACAGGCCATTGGTTAGAGAGGAGGTATCACTGACAGGTGGATATGGAGGGGTATAGGAGATTCTAGATATGGCTCAGAACAGGGCAAGGGGTGCCCCCAAGGAGGTCCACAGAAACCTGGAAAAGTTAGTAGTCTGGTCAAGATGGCAGAGCATGCCAGGCAGGCATGTAGGCTCTACACAGATGGTCCTGAGGCCCTGATCCAGGAAACCAGGGATGGCCTGCCCACTGCTCCCCCTTGAGGCCTTGCAGAAGCACCTTCCTGTGTCTGAGCCAGATCAGACCAGTTCCACCTCCTCAGGCTATAGAAGAGATCAGGGGAAAGTGTAGCCACAAGAAACTAAGAATAGCATTTGCTRAGCACCTGTCCTGAGCTCAGAGCTGCAGACTACATAGCACGAGCAAGTCCACAAAGTGCCTTCCTGAGTCTAAGGAAGAATGATTATCACACAGCTCTGAGGAAGCACCAGGCAAGGCAGGGCCTTTTCTCCCTCTCAGTCAGTTCCCTGACTCATCTGAGGTGCTATAATTTCTGTGAAGACAACTGGGGCAGAGACACTGTTCTCTAGACAGGCATCTTTGCCTTGAGCCCTGATCTCTCTGTCCACAGGGTTAAAGATGTACTGCTCAAATCCACCTGTGTGCTAGAGGCCTTTGGCAATGCCCGCACCAACCGCAATCACAACTCCAGCCGCTTTGGCAAGTACATGGATATTAACTTTGACTTCAAGGGAGATCCTGTTGGAGGACACATCYACAGTTACCTGCTGGAAAAGGTGAGTACGTGGGCTGAGGAGACCCACATGGGGGACCCTAGCTGAAATCTTTCCCAGGACTGGGGGCCCCAGGAACTGGGAACACACTGACCCTGATGTTGCAGGTTAGGAAAACTGGCTCTGTCAGTGACCTTTCTCTGAGACTCACTGTCCCTGGGGCAGCCCATCATCAGGCTGGGGTCCAACTTCCCTTCTCTTCAGTCCAGGGTCCTCAAACAGCATGTGGGCGAAAGGAACTTCCATGCATTCTACCAGGTGAGCCTCTGTATATGGGGAGGGATTGTAGGGAGAAAACAAACAGTGGGAGGAGGAAAAGAGTAAAACAGGCTGGACCCACTTTCCACTTCCCTCATTACCCCAACTTCCCCACCCTACTCCATTCCATCTGTTCCTAGACACTGTCCTTATTCCCCACCATAGCTATCCCAACCCCACATACAAGAGGGTGAGAGCTCATTGGGCATGGAGGCAGGGTATCCTTAACATTTGAGACCCCCAAAATATAAGAGCTCCCTGGGACACAGGCAGTGTCTTCACAGGCTCTGAGGTCTACACTGAGGTGGAGCTCCTTGGCACATGGGAAGTGTCCACATCATCTTTGAACTACCCCTGTGTTTGTTGGTTCAAGGCTGGAGGGAAGAATGTGTTCATGTGTTATCCTGCATCTGTGAGGGTTAGGTGGGGATATAGGAGGGTCCTTGGAGTTTAGTGGCCTAACTAAGTTGCATCTGCATCCTTCAGTTGCTTAGGGGCTGTGAGGACCAAGAGCTACAAGGACTGTACCTGGAGAGAAACCCTGCTGTGTATAATTTCACACGCCAGGGAGCCGGGCTYAACGTGGGTGTGCACAATGCGAGTATAAGGGGCATGGGTCTCAATCAGACTTAGGTTCAGGGTCCTGGGAGTGGGGGCAGGGAATGGGCAGCAATTGGATCAAACTAGAGTGGTGTGAACAACTTGGGTAAATGTATGTGGTGGAGGGGTGAAAGAAAACAGCTTGGGGAGGAGACAGAGGACAGGGTAAGCAGGTACCGGATATGGAGGAATTGGGGTCTATGGATGGGACGGGATGTGGGGTAAGCAGGTGCCTGGGACACAGGGGTTCAGGGAGTGCAGGGGGCCTGGGCTGTGTTCACTTGGGTGGTGAGTTTCTTCTCCCTTAGGGCTTGGACAGTGATGAGAGGAGCCACCAGGCAGTAACTGAGGCCATGAGGGTCATTGGCTTCAGTCCTGAGGAGATGGCATCAGTACACCGCATCCTGGCTGCCATATTGCACCTGGTGAGCCTGGCTGAGAGGGTCTGGGAGTGTCTGGAAGGTCATCTCCCCACAGAGATGTCCTTTTAGGAACCACTCAGGGGCCAGGATTGGACTCACTTGAATTATTCCAGTGAAGCTGAATTGACTGCCTCCCTTGCTGAGGCTGATTTGCTAGTGATGAGCTCAGTGGATGTCCAATAGAGCTTGCTCTCAGGAGTCCAGACTGCAGGCTGTGACAACCAAGCATTTTGCATCTCACATTGAGCAGACTGCCTCTTGGTTAAGTTGTTCCTCAGAACCTCTCATTCAGCCTCAGAACTCTGAGAGCCATGAGGAGTAAGTTGTTGGGAGTCCTTAGCAAAGGCTCCTGATCCCCATCTCGGCTGTGTCCATGGCTTGCAATGACCAGCTAACCATGCTGTCTGAACAGGGCAAGGTCCCCTACATCCACACCCCCTGCTTCCTTTCCTTTTTCCCATTCAAAGGTGTCTAGGCTCCTTGGAGATGAGGAGCCTGGACTGTTCATGGTACCCCCATCACCAGGGAAACATCGAGTTCATGGAGAGAGAAGAAGATGGGCCACAGAAAGGGGGCCTAGCAGTGGCTGAGGAGGCATTGGTGGACCATGTGGCTGAGCTGACTGCCACCCCCAGGGACCTGGTGCTCCGCTCCCTGCTGGCTCGCACTGTGGCTTCTGGAGGCCGGGAACTCATAGAGAAAGGCCATACTGTGGCGGAGGCCAGCTACGCCCGGGATGCCTGTGCCAAGGTACTCCCAGGGTGGTTAAAAGGGGGAAACCCAGGAGGCCTTTGTAGGGGATGCCAGGATGGCAGCAGCAAGAAGTGGCATGCTCTGCCCCCAGGCAGTCTACCAGCGACTGTTTGAGTGGGTGGTGGACAGGATCAATGGTATCATGGAAGCCCGGGGCCGTGACCCTCGTCGTGATGGCAAGGACACAGTCATTGGTGTGCTGGACATCTACGGCTTTGAGGTGTTCCCTGTCAACAGGTGAGCAATCCAGCCAACCATGTCCCTAGTTCTGACTCCCCAATKCTGTGGACACCAAGGTCCTGAAAAGCTCAGCTGGGACTGGGAGGTAGGAATGTCTGGATTTTCTCACTGGTCCTGAACCCCAGGTCTCCTACCCTTCCAGCCTACCTTGGCTGAGTCTCTGACCAGCAGTGCCCTGATGAAAGCTAATATTTTGGGGCACACTTCTGGCCATGAATTCCAAGTATACTCCAATATGTGCACATGGTGGATAGGGTTACAATGGAGGGTAAGCAGGGATGTATAAACTGCAGTAAAGCCTCATGGGGTCCTGGCACTATCAGGGGAAATGTGGGGGGAGGGGAAGCCATTTTACTGTACCCATGAGGAGGGAGAGACCYTCTGAAGGCCCTGCTTACCCCAGCTTTGAGCAGTTCTGCATCAACTACTGCAATGAGAAGCTGCAGCAGCTCTTCATCCGGCTCATCCTGAAGCAGGAGCAGGAAGAGTATGAGCGTGAGGGCATCACCTGGCAGACTGTGAGTACCCTTCACATGAAGGAGGATGGTGTTGAGAACCTCCTGCAGCCTTGTGGGCACTGAGCAGGCAACGAGTGAGATGAGGTTAACAGGTAGGTGTCTAGATGGCTTCAGGAGTCTCCTGGCTGGCTGCTTTCACCCAGGTCGAATACTTCAACAATGCCACCATCGTGGAGCTGGTGGAGCGGCCCCATCGAGGCATCCTGGCTGTGCTGGATGAGGCCTGCAGCACTGCGGGACCCATCACTGACCGAATATTCCTGCAGACCCTGGACACACACCATCGCCACCATCCACACTATTCCAGCCGCCAGGTGCTTCAGCTGTTCCTTGGGCACAGAGGGCTGATGGGACATGCCAAGAGGCACTGCAATACCTGTGCCTGGGGGGCCTTTGAGGGACCCAGCTTGGTGCCATTCAAATCACTGTGACAGTTTCCTTTGCCCAGGTGGGGTGGCTGTGGGACTGTCCACTTATGCAGGCCAAAGACCTGCCCCCACCTTCTATGTTTTGACCTTGGCCTGTCCTATAGCTTTGCCCCACTGACAAGACAATGGAGTTTGGCCGAGATTTCCGGATCAAGCATTATGCAGGAGATGTCACGTAAGTGTCCTCTGCTTCCACCTGCACCCTGGTTCCTGCATGAGGCACTACTGCACATGTCACATTCTTGGAGAATGGCAAGGACCCTGCCCTATAAAGACATAGAAAACATGCCCTTCACCTAGAAGCATAGGTGTAAGACAGGACATGAGGTTTTGAGGATAGTAGTTCTCAACTCAGGCTTCATTCATTTGGAGAGTTTATAAAAAATACCCCTCTCCAGCCTATTKGTGGGGGAGCTGCAAGTTGGGTAGTGGGGCAAGGGGGCAAAGATCCTGCATTTCTAACAAGGTCCCAGGTGAGGTCTCACTTCAGTCCTCATGCAGGCTCTGAGCATCAAGGCTCAGGGTGTCCTTCAGGGATTGTCATGATGATTATTAATTTACCTGTGTCTCACCCAATCCTAAAGAGGATTCAAGGTGACTCAAAGAGAGGTGCAAGTGTCTAACATGATTTTCCCAAGGAGACTAACTAGTAGATGATGAAGACAAAGAAGCCAGATGTTAGATCTATTTACAATAATCCACACCCTGCACAGGGACTGCAGATGGAGCTATGATTTGACACAGCTTTCTGGGGGTCCAAGAAGAAGAACATGATTCTAAGGTTCTCATGTCACAAGACTAAAATAGACCTAAGATTCAGGAGTTTCTGGTCATAATTGCAGTCACTAATACTTATGAGGACTCACTGTGCAAGCATTTGATGTACATTGAAGCAGAGGGTTTGAATGACCTGTCTGAGGTCACACAGCATGTTTGTGTGGAGCTGGGATTCAGTATAGGGATGTTTGGCTTCAAAGCTAGGTGCTAATCCACTTGATTCATCTTCCAGGAGAGAAATTTCTCTTCAGGGAATGAGTCTTAGGTGATGAAAGAGAATGCAGATGTGAGGGAGAAGGAAAAGAGAGAGGGCAGCAAGGAGGGAGAGAGACCGACCTCCAAAAACAGAGGCAGGTGGGGGGGCCTTCAGTGTTTGTCAGCATTTGAGAGGCCTGGCAGTCTAGTCCTTCCCTGGACTCACTGACCCTGGACTTGGGCAGGTACTCTGTGGAGGGCTTCATTGACAAGAACAGAGACTCCCTCTTCCAGGACTTCAAGCGGCTGTTCTACAATAGGTAAGTATGTAAGTATGTCTTGCTAGTTGTACTGGTGCCAGAGGCCCAGGGCTGGTGGTCTTCAGGGACTCTGGCACCTGATCCACTTGACAAGAGGACAGGCTACAGCTCAAGGCTAAAGCCATGCAGCAACTAAGGGCCACACTGGGACAGGTGGGGCTGCTCTTAAGAGGGCAGTTGAGTATGCAATCTGTGTCTGCAGCTCAGATCCCACATTGCGGGCTATGTGGCCAGATGGACAGCAGGACATCACAGAGGTAACCAAGCGCCCCCTGACAGCTGGCACACTATTCAAGAACTCCATGGTGGCCCTAGTGGAGAACCTGGCCTCCAAGGTACTCCTGCCCCACCCTGACTTTCCAGATCCTTCTTTCTGTGTCCTGGGTGCCCGTCACGGAGGGTTGGCATTCTTGTACAGTCTGCTTGAACCATGTCTTACCCAAGTAGGGAACACACCCACTGCAGAAATTAGATGTGGGGGCTCAGGGACCAGACTTGATTAGTCACTGAGCATACAGTAGGATTCATGTACCCTCCCTTTGCCCCACTGCCTCTTGGGCAGGGGGCCCTGATGGGGTTGACCCCGCCCAGCCCCCACTGAGAGCTGGGATTCTTCTGGTGGCTGGGGCAATAGGGAAAATAAACTGGCACTATCTTTCTTGTGGTGTTTGGGTCCAAAGTCAAAGGGGCAATTGGTGCGGGGTTCGCAGCTGGTGGGTTTAACAACATAATATTCAGTGGAGGAGACCTGATCCTGCTCTCTTGGGCTAGAACCTGGCTTTGGCCAGACCTCCTCATGAGTCCTGCCCCATGCTCTGAGCCTCTGCACTTGTGCTATGGTTTTCCTCTGCCTGACTCGCCTCTTAACCTGAGCCTTTGGGGGTTCAAGAAATCCCTTTTCAAGTTAGTGCAAATAGTGGCCACTGGCTCAGATGTTTAACCCCCACTCTGTCCCTATAGGAACCCTTCTATGTCCGCTGCATCAAACCCAATGAGGACAAGGTGGCTGGAAGGCTGGATGAGGACCACTGCCGCCACCAGGTCGCATACCTGGGGCTGCTGGAGAATGTGAGAGTCCGCAGGGCTGGCTTTGCTTCCCGCCAGCCATACTCTCGATTTCTCCTCAGGTATAGGCACCCAACTCTATCAATCTAGGCTATAAATCTTGTGTAGAGTCCAAGGGGTAAGAGAGTCCCTAAACATTTTGTACACATTGGCACAAGTGAGAGCCAGCATGCTGCTGGCTTCAAGGCACCAAAATGTCTGTTGAGGACATGTGGGAAGACATGTACATGGACATGTGTACAAGGGCACATGTGAAAGGTATGGGAGGACATGTGGTAGGGGCATAAGTGTAGGACACATATACATACAGGTATCACAGCTGCTCTAGGATCATGCCAGGAGAATTTTGGCTCTGGGACTCCCAGAGTGGAGTATCTCCTCAAGTGTGGGCAGGGCAGGTTCCATGCCCTCTTCCTGGAGCCAGATCCMCATTGCTCTGTCCTATGCTGACAGGTACAAGATGACCTGTGAGTACACATGGCCCAACCACCTGCTGGGYTCTGACAAGGCGGCTGTGAGCGCCCTCCTGGAGCAGCACAGGCTACAAGGGGATGTGGCCTTTGGCCACAGCAAGCTGTTCATCCGCTCACCCAGGACGCTGGTCACACTGGAGCAGAGCCGAGCCCGCCTCATCCCCATCATTGTGCTGCTGCTACAGAAGGTGTGGGGAGTAGAGAGCTGCCCACCACAGCGGGAATGGGTGTCTTCCTGAATACCACAATGGATACGTTATCCAATCAGCTCCTGATGGTGTTCCTGGTCTGTTGAAGTCAGGGTCCTTACACTGTGTGGTCAATGGTTTGTTGCTCAAGTCTGTCTTAATCTGTGAGTCCCTAGGCTGCTTGCCTTGTAGGGTATCCAGTTTAGGTTCTTACAGTCACCATCTAGTGGTGGCCCTCTGTCTCAAGGTCTCCCAGAAGTTGTCAGATGCCCTCGTAGATGAGCAAGCACCTCCATCTGCTCCCACCTTTCTTCTTACATGAGCTTTCTCCTGAGAATCTGGGGATCCCTACAATGCCAGGTCCCAGCTTAAAAATCCTAGCATAATTGAGCATGGTAGCACATGCCTGTAATCCCAGTGGCTTGGGAGGCTGAGACAGGAGGATCTAGAGTTCAAAGCCAGTCTCAGCAACTTAGCAAGGCCCTAAGAAACTCTGCGAGACTCTGAGTGCCTCAGCGGTTGAGTGCCCCTGCCCCTCAGTTCAATCCTTTGTACAGAAAAAAAAAAAAAGCCTAGCACAAGCAAATTACTCTTTTCTGAGAGTCTGCAGAGCCTTGGACAGTACTCTTCCAGCCTAGCTGGCTACATGCCTAAGCTGGAACCAACCTCTGGCTGGACCTGGTTTCTGGGAGCAGGGGGTTGGGTCGGTTTCCCTAGAAATAAGCAGGGGGTGATCAGGAAAGATTCAGGGGCACAGCTGGGGTTAGGAGGTCAGGTCTGCCTGGGCCTGACACCATATCCATCCCATCTGACCCACTCAGGCATGGAGAGGTACCCTGGCTAGATGGCGCTGCAGGCGGCTGCGAGCCATCTACACTATCATGCGCTGGTTCCGGAGGCATAAGGTGCGTGCTCACTTGGCAGAGCTGCAGCGGAGGTTTCAGGCTGCACGGCAGCCCCCACTCTATGGCCGGGACATTGAGTGGCCGCTGCCCCCTGCTGTGTTGCAGCCCTTCCAGGACACCTGCCACATGCTCTTCTGCAGGTACTGCCTTAAGTCCTCCTCATTTCCCTTGTAGCCAGCATCCTCTGAACACTGAAACTGTCATCTTAGTACCTGGCTGGAGATATACCATCCAAAGCAGAAAGATAAGAGTGGGCCACATTAGCTGACTGTCACATCCCAGTTGGTGGCAGATCCCTGACTATCCCAGTACGGTGCTAGACTTTCCAGGTCCAGGGCCACGGTCTTTGGGAGGGGAGGAGAGTTAGTCAGGGCTGGGGTTTAGGGGACTCTGCACCCAAATGGGGCCTTGAAGGCTGAGTAGAAGCTCTCCAGGAGGGGCACAGAGTAGGTGTGCTTAGAATGGGAGTGTGCTGTGTGGTCAGAGATCTTGGACCATCTTCCAGAGACAAGTGTTGAATGTGAGAAGCCAAGACCAGAGAAGCTAACAGAAGTTGGGACTCAAAGGGCAATTAGCAGCAGTCTGATGACTGGCTCTCTCCTGTAGAAGGGGTTGGGGAGGGCATAAATACACAGGCTGGTGTCTTCTGACTACTTCCCTCCTCCAGGTGGCGGGCCCGGCAGCTGGTAAAGAACATTCCACCTTCAGATATGGCTCAGATCAAGGCCAAAGTGGCTGCCATGGGGGCCCTACAGGGTCTACGTCAGGACTGGGGCTGCCAGAGAGCCTGGGCTCAAGACTACCTGTCCTCTGTGAGTGCCAGGCGAGCATGGAGCTGTGTATGGTGGGGAAGCTCGCTGCTGACAATGTGCCTGTCTCACCATGCATCCTTGCCAACCAGTGCTGACTTGTTGACCGTGCTCTTGGCCCCTGTCTTTCCCTCTTAAGATTTCATCCCTGAGGTTTAAGGGTTTTCATATGGCTCCCCTGCCTGGGCTCTCCCTGGAACTTTGAGAATCCCATGTTCTCAGGTATAGCTGAGTGTACCTCCCACCCTACACTATCATGTTCTCAGGTACAGCACCCCTAGTCAGGCAGGCCTGCACATACCCACTCCCCCTGCATGGCTTCCTCAGTCCTCTCCTGGCTGCTATGAGTTTGCTGTCCTTATACCTGGTCTTCAGGGAATGGCAGTCTGGAGATAGGAGGCCCATCCAGGTGGACAGTTCCTGTGCCCAGGATCTAGGTTCTTGCCTGCCCATGGGCATCTCTCCAGAGAATACAGGCCTGGGCTTGAGCAACAGCTGCCTGTTGGGTGGGTGTGGAGGGCAGTGAGGGTGGGACACAGACCTGGCCTACAATATCAGCATTTCCTGAGGTGAAGGACAACTGTGGTGATTTGCCATTAGTGAGTGTGATCCCAAGACTCCATCCCAAACATCCCCTCCCCACCATCTATTCTCAGGGCACTGACAACCCCACAGCCGCAGGCCTGTTTGCTCAGCAACTGAAGACCCTTCGAGAGAAGGATGGCTTTGGGKCTGTGCTCTTTTCTAGCCATGTCCGTAAGGTCAGTACCTTGTCTGGGAGTTTGGGGGCATGGGTTGGGGGTGCCCAGGAGAGACCCTTGAGACATATCCAGCTCAGGCACAACTGCTTCTGAAACTCTGGAATTTGTCAGGACACCTCAGTCAGTGAGGAGAAGAGCCAGGGAAGGGAGAAAGGAGGGATAGCTGGGGCCTGGGGCCATGAGTGGGGCAGTTGGCGCCAGCCTAGGTCCAGCCACTCCTCCTGCAGGTGAACCGCTTCCGCAAGTGCCGGGACCGGGCCCTTCTGCTTACAGACCGGCACCTCTACAAACTGGAGCCTGGCCGTCAGTACCGGGTAATGCGGGCTGTGCCCCTGGATGCGGTGAGTACCATGGGCTGCATATGGAGCACCTGTGTGGGGCTCTACAGGGCTCCTGGGCTGGAAGCCTTGCCTAAGTCTCCTTCCCACTATCTGTGATGGCCTGGAGCATCCTGACACTCAGGCAGTGGCAACCCCTACTGAAAACCCTGAAGTGGCTTCCTATGGCTCATGTGGTGGAGGGTCTGACTCTGCCAGCTCTGCTGGCCCAACCACCTTGTCCCCCTGACTCATGCTCTCACATCTGGTCAAGCCAAATGGCTCCTCTCCCCACCTAGGCCTCTCTGGGTGGTTCCTACCTAGGCATGCTAGAACACACTCAAGTGCTTGCTACAGTGCTCAACTACCTCCTGCAGGACCCCGTCCCTACCTTCTGCCTGGCTCTGTAGCCTACCTGCTCCCTTGCATGGCAGCTCTTTGTTCCCATGAATTATCTCATAAGACAAGGAGCAGCCTGGGCAGGGAATCAATGTTGGATCTGGGTCTCCCATGAGTTTGGGGGTTCTGTGACTGTCCTGTTATCATAATGCTGTCTGATGTGGTTGCTATGTGCCAGTGTGGTTATTTAAATGTAACCAAAATGAGGTAAAACTAAAAACTCAGCTTTTCAATCACAGTAATACATTCAAGTGTTCAGTAGGGGCAGGTGCTAATCTATCAGCAAAGATCTAGAATATTCCATAATGACAGAAATTCCTATGGCATGATGCCCTGCTGAACCCTCCTCTTTGCCAGCAGGTACCAGAGAGGGAAGGAAGTGGCAGTGGAGGGGTGGCCGAGGGCTGGAGTGAACACTCTGCCAAAGGCAGGGCTTCTCATTAGGTCTCAGGAGGGGCTTCCTAAGGAGGGCTGCTGTATCCCTGACCCTGAGTTTCCTGCTCAGGTGACAGGGGTGAGTGTGACCAGTGGACGGGACCAGCTGGTGGTACTGCATGCCCGGGGCCATGATGACCTCGTGGTATGTCTGCATCGCTCCCAGCCACCTCTGGACAATCGTATCGGGGAGCTGGTGGGTGTACTGGCTGCACACTGCCAGAGGTGAGTCTGGGGCCAATTGGGGATGTGGGCATGTGGAGCCTCATTGCCCTGGCCCTCTGCCTGCCCTGACCCCCTGTTCCTTCTGTTCCAGGGAGGGAAGAAACCTAGAGGTCCGTGTCTCTGACTGCATTTCACTGAGCCAGCGTGGGGCCCAACGCCTTGTTTCCGTGGAGTCCAGGCCAGAGCAACCAGAACCAGATTTCTGCTGTAGCCGTGGCAACTTTACCCTCCTCTGGCCAAACTGCTGATTCAGCCTGAGCTGGCCTGTCCTAGTCTCCGTGCAGTTTCTCACACTTGGCCCTGGCCACACTGAAGGCCAGGACTCACCTACCCCTGTAAAGAGCACAATATAATAAAGATCCTGTATCTGTGCCCAGCCTGGCTGTGCCTGGGTAGATAGACAGTGGCCACTCTTACCCTATCTGGGTGGAATACTGGGTTACCCAGGCAAGTTCTGGCTGCTCCCATAGCTAATGTCCACCCTGTGTCTGCTGCTCACCCACTGCAGGATCACCCAAACTGGAGGAGGAACTCTGGGGGCCTAGTATAGGGTAGAACAGCAAGACTTAGTCCTCAGGGTCTCAGTCCAGGGACAGGCTGAATGTGGATTCCATGGTCTGAGAGAAAGGGTTCTACCTAGGGACACTTCCTGGATGCCCCAAGCTGCTCTCATGGGCTCAAGACTTCCCCATACCAAACGTAGCCCTTGGTCCCTTTCCTTCCCTACCCACAGGGCTCCTGGTCTAGGGAAGGCTTGGGCCCCAATGTCAACTTGGAGAAGTACTGGGGGGGGGCACAGAGCAGCCACTCTGAGGGCTGTCAGGGGATGTGCTAATAGGCAGCCTTGGCCCAGGGCTGATGTGGTCTCGGCCACTAGCTGTCCAAGTTGGGTACTGGATGTAGGTGTCTGAGGCTGTGGGACCTTCTTCTGCAATGAGAAATCAATAAGAAATGGGGCCAAGCAGCCAGAACTACCAGTATTGGGAAACAGGGCTATCTGTGTTCAATGTTATAGGACAGCCACACAAGGGAGGCCAGGGTAGGCACCCACCTCCATGCCTCTGGTGAGTTAAGCACTTCTACAACACTTACCCTCTTACTAGGCCCACACTCCTCTGAATCCCTCAACCTATATATAACTCTTCTGCCCTCATTCCCCTCAGCCTCTTCCCTCCTCAGCTCTTCAGTCCCCAACCCTTCAGTTACTCAGCCCATCAGTGCTCCCTCAGTACTTCAGCTCTTAAGCCCATCATACCCAAGCCCCCATCAACCCCTCAGCTTTTTAATTCTTCATATCCTCAGCCCCCATCAGCAGCCTCAGCCCCCTGCTCTCTTCTTCCATAGATGTTTCCTTTGTCCTCACTGCTGCTTACTCTCTTGAGACATAAATTTAGCAGACATCCTTGCCTGTTTGTGCCATTTTGTTGTGGAGGTCAACATCTGTCACCATGGATTTTGATTATGGCATGAGGGTTTAGGAGCATCCAGAGCTCTTGACCCACTAAGGCTTCCCTGTTCATATGGTCAAGCATCTGTAGGTCTCAACAGTCAGGGTTACTTCCTGCGTGCCCTGGGAAGCCTCATACAGAGCCAAACCCCTGAATTTCTGGCAGCTTCTGGCCAGGCGGGACACTTCCCTCACAGAGTAATCAGATGAGAAGGGCCTCTTTCAATCATGGGACCCTAAACACTCCTAGATATAGGTGTGCTTCCTGCCCTCTGTATATCACTTCATCAGAAAGCTGTATAGCATCAGCTAGCTGCTGTCCAAATTCCCCTCCCTTACACCTTGGAAGGGGCTAGAGAATACCATCCACCCTTGTCAAAATTTTCCTAGATCTTTAGGAAGCTTTACTTACAGACTGCAGGTAAGCCCCAGTGAACAAGTAAAAACTTCAGGGAAGCCCCAGAATGGAGAGTGGAACATTTGAGGTCTAGCCTTCCAGAGCCACTTCATGCCTAGCCTAGAGCCTTGAGGGGGAAAGATCACAACTGCCAGGTGGTACCCAGGCCCTGAAACCCAGTCCAAGAGGTAGGCAATATGCTAGGGAGGGAAAGGCCACAAAAGCTCTTCTAGTGAACTCTGACCCCCGAAGAGGCAGTTCACATACACTATCCATCTCTTTGACAAACACTCTAGGGCTTTGCAAATATCCTTCACTAGATACCTTTGAGGTCAGCGTTACCATCATTACCCCACTTCTAGGTGATGGAACAGTTTCCATAACTTGCCTGAAGCCCTCATGCCCTGAGGAGCAGAACCAGGACTCCCAATGCCAGTGGGCCCAGGAGTAGTCACATACCTCATGTCATACAAATACAGGTGGCTCAAACAGAGCATCACTTTGCAGATAGTGCAGAGCATCACTTTGCAGATGGGGAGTAATATCTGAACGTGGGGATGTGGTCACTGGCTGTTGAGAGACAGCCCATCCCCATTTCCTATCAAAGAATGAATTTACTAGAACTGTCCTCTCAAGTTGTTATGAGGACTGCACAAAGTTGGTTGTTGTTTTTTTTTTTTTTGTTTGTTTGTTTTGCCATGTACACAGAGGCAATCCTTATTTTGGGATGTTAGGAGAGGAAAATCACATACATGGCCTCAGGGGTGGGTTTCCTCACTTCAGTGCCTAGTCCCCCAGCAGACCTGAGAGCAGGAATAGCCATCTTAATTTTGCAAATAAGGAAACAGAACTATAAAAGTGGCCTTTTWAAAAATATATTTATTTTATTTTTATGTGGTGCTGAGGATTGAACCTCATGCATGGTAGGCGAGCACTCTACCTCTGAGCCACAACCTCAACCCAAGGTGGCCTTTTTTAATTGAAATTAAATTGGTCTCCCCTCAACAAATGCTTAGACTTAATTATTTTAATTATCTTTGCATATGCTCCTGCTACTATTTTATGGAAATATAATTCATATACCATAAAATTTGCCATTTGAAGACAGAATTCAGTAATTTTTAGTAAGTATACTGATAAAGTTGTACCACCAACCATCATCACTATCTAAATTTATTAGAACATTTTCATCACCCAAAAAGGAAACCTATACTTATTAGTAGTTATTTTCCATTACCTACCTTTACTTCCAGCCCTTAAAACCACTAATCTATGTTCTGTCTCTACAGATATACCTATTCTGGATATTTTATTTTATGTTATTTTATTTTACATATGTATATATAGGTACTTGGTGTGTTACTGGGGTTTAAACCCAGGGGCACTGTACCACTGAGCTATATCCTCAATCTTTTTTTCTTTTTCTTTATTTTTAATTTTATTTATTATTGTTGTTGTTGTTAATTTTTTTGAGAGAGAGGGTCTCTATTTAAAGTTTCCAAGGCTGACCTCAATCTTGAAATCCTCTTGCCTCACCCCCCCCAAATAGATGGGATTATAGGTGTGCATAACCATGCTCGGCTTGGATATTTCATATATGTGGAATCATGTGGCCTCTTTCATCTGGCTTCTTTTATTTAGCATAATGTTTTCTGGCTTCAACTATATTATATCGTATATCAGTATTACATAGGCAAAGGATATTCTATTGTGTAGATCTAGAATATCTACACAATAGATTCTATTGTGTAGATCTACGACAGTTTGTTTATGTACTTATTAGTCAATAGTTTCTGGAGTTTTTTGTTTGTTTGTTTCTTTTGATAGCTATCCTAGAGAATGTGAAATAATATCCCATTGTGGTTGGTTGGTTGTTGTTTCTGTACTAGGGATTGAACCCAGGAGCACTTTACCATCAAGCTACATTCCCAGTACTTTTTTTTTTTTTTTTTTGTAGTGTTGGGGATTGAACCCAGAGCCTTGTGCATGCAAGGTAAGCACTCTACCAACTGAGCTATATCTCCAGACCTATTCCCAGTACTTTTTACTTTTTATTTTGAGACAGGGTCTTACTAAGTTGCTGAGGCTGACCTCAAACTCCTGGGCTCAAGTGATCCTCGTTTTTTTAATTTTTATTTTTGGTACTAAGGATTGAGCCCAAGGGCACTTAACCACTGAGTCACATCCTCAACCCTTTTTAATATTTTATTTTAAGATAGGGTCTCATTAAGTTACTTAGAGCCTTGCTAAATTTCTGAGGCTGGTTTTGAACTCATGATCCTCTTGCCTCAGCCTCCTGAGAGGCTGCCCTTCTTTATTTTATTTTATTTTTTTCCTGAGGTGCTGGAGATCAAATCCAGGGCTTATACATTTTTTTTAATATTTAGTTTTTAGTATTTGGCGGACACAACATCTTTGTTTGTATGTGGTGCTGAGGATCGAACCCGGGCCGCACGCAGGCCAGGCGATCGCGCTACTGCTTGAGCCACATCCCCAGCCCCAGGGCTTATACATGCTGAGCAAAAGCTCTGCAACTGAGCAATTGGGCTGGGGATATAGCTCAGTTGGTAGAGTGCTTGCATCACACGCATAAGGCCCTGGGTTCAACCCCCTAACTGCCAATTAAAAAAAAAAAGTCAGTGAGCTAAACCCCCAGATGTGCCATTTTCTTTCTTGTTTTACAGTCCTGGAGATTAAACCAGTGGTGCTCTACCATTGAGCTATATCCCCAGCCATTTTTAATTTTTTATTTTGGGACCAGGTCTCACTAGTTGTCCAGGCTAGCTTGAACTCATGATCCTCATGCTTCAGCTTACTAAGTTATACAGGGGTATATCACTGCACCTGGCCACACCACTTTCTTATAAATGAAAATTTAAGAATTGCTTTTTTTTTTTTTTTGAGAGAGAGAATTTTAATATTTATTTTTTAGTTATCGGCGGACACAACATCTTTGTTTGTATGTGGTGCTGAGGATCGAACCCGGGCCGCACACATGCCAGGCGAGCACGCTACCACTTGAGCCACATCCCCAGCCCTGCTTTTTTTTTTTGTACTGGGGTTGAACCCAGAGGCACTTTACCACTAAGCCACATCCCAGACCTTTTAAATTTTGATTCAAGGTATCACTTAGTTGCTTAGGGTCTAAGTTGCTGAGACAACTTTGAACCTGTGATCCTTCTGCCTCAGCTGCCCAAGTTGCGGGGATTACAGGCATGCTTCACCACTCCTGGCTAAGGCTGGTTTTTATATTGCTCATACTATGAAATCAAAGTCACACTGAATATTGGGGTCAGACCATCAAATGTGTGTTTGAAACAGGAGGAAACAATCCATCTCTCAGCCCAAAGCCAACATCCTGACTGCAGATGAAAGTCTAATCCAGGTGTTTCCCTCTTGGCTTGTGAGATGAGGTTGCCTAGGAGAGGAGTTTGACTTACGGAAACATCATTTATCTCAGACAAATTGTGCATGCAAGGCAATTCACAGGA